AGAAGCTGGTCTCAACTTTATCGGGCAGTTTTCGGGAAGACGGACAGCAGCTCCAGGAGGGAAGGCTGCACGTCCCCCCGTCCCGAAATAACACAGGCATCGCCGTGATTTGTAATGATCAAAACACAACAGCCAGCGTTCGCATTTTTCAACTTTACATCCCTAAAAATGTTATTTTTTTCTGCCATATAGATTGCTCTGGATTAGCTGTCACCCAGTGAAATATATTTTTAAAATGTATTTTGTAACATCTTAGCAACTACCATTGTATAAATTACAAAACTTGCTTTTACTTAAAATGAAGAATAGGTTTTGTAATATTGTCTGTAGGGGGGAAGCTACATTTCAATGTAATTACTTTAAATGCTAAATATTCAAGATATACAGTTGTTTTTTTGTTATCTTTCGTATTATTTTCAGTCTGGCCATTCCACTTTGGTAGTCTGAAGTGAATGGATGATCTGAGATAGCCCCCCCCCCCAGCCCCCCACAGAAACAGGGAGAGACAAAGGGGGATAGATACAGCTTAAGTATTATTATCACCTCGTGGCCCAGTTCAGCACAATGGATACAAGTAAGACATGCGTCACAAACCAGTACGAATGTAGAGCGCTTACAAAGCAGATAAGCGGCTGGTGTAACCCCCCTGTGACCGTATACACCGGCCCTGGGCGCGACATGGTGGGAGGTGTGTGAATCCCAGAGCCGGCTTCGCGGCTCGGAACGTGTGTGTGTGTGTGTGTGTGTGTGTAGCTACAGACAACCCTGCCCGTACATCCTCAGCAACCGCACCACGCGAAATGTGTCCGAGAACAATGAGCCACAAGGGTGGCTTGGCGCACTAACACATCCGCACGTTCCAGAACAGACCCGTAAAAGGCGTCGCTCCACTCCACAACCACCCAGGACCCACCAGGACCCACCCGCCCTCTGCGGCTCACCAGCCTACTCCCAACAGCTCTAGCTCAGGAACACGAGTGTGACCTCTATAGCATGTAGGCAAGGATCAATATCACCTGTTAACGAGGAGGACAGAGAGCTAAACACACACACACACTGTGTCCACTCTTACGAGAAGAAGCTTACTTATAGGGGAAAACATTATTTAATATTCCTGTAGGGGATTATTTAACTAAGTTTATTATTATTAAGAATACGGTAAGAGAGGGTGACACAGTTTAATGTCACCAAGGTCTGAAAATCGCATGCCAAGGTTTCGTCCCGCGAATCCATTCGTGCGGCAACAGAAACTAGCCACACGGCCTTCTGGGATCTCCATAGGTGACGAGCGACCTGTGTGTGTGCGTGTGTGTGTGCGTGTGTGGCACCACATAGGAAATATAAATAAAATATCTACTACCAAACAACCCCCCCCCCACCATGCGTAGAGCCGAACAGCTACATAAATCACACTACTGGAATGTACAGGAAATAATCGAGGCCTCACATCTACAAAATGCTTACTGGTCATATTTGACACCATCCACAAAAATAAAAAATATATATATTAAAACAGTGACTTTCAAAAGTATAATTACACATTAACAAATAAACAATATGAAAGGAAAAAAAATCATTCAAATTTTAAATAAATCCTTCTACCCTGTTCAAAAAAAAATCGCTATAGTGAGTAGAGTATGAGTAGATATCTACTTATATAAAAAAAATAATAATTTATAAACCAATCTTTGTACAATGTTATGATAATTCATGTAAATTTTAAGCAAGCATCTAACCACATAATTTTCCAAGAAGCAGACAGATCCCAACATTGGCATTTGACTGTAATGAAGAAACTAACGCAGACAGTATAAAATCTGCACGTTACAGTGTTACTGTAATGAAGAAGCTAACGCAGACAGTATAAAATCTGCACGTTACAGTGTTACTGTAATGAAGAAGCTAACGCAGACAGTATAAAATCTGCACGTTACAGTGTTACTCAGGCCGCTAACCAGCACAGCGTCCGCGCTGTTATGCTGATCGTGACTTTATCGTTACATACATTTCCCCAGTTGAAATAGCATCCATCCAAAACACTCCATGTTTCATAATGAAAGTTTAATTATGAAATCTTATTAAAAAATGTGGCAACGTATTTAGTTTCTATTTTAAAAGAAAATGAGAAAATCAAAAAAGCAAACTATCTAGAAAAAAAACCCACACATAATTCTCAATTTTAACAAACATATCCAAACATATTCTTTTGGAAAACAAGCATTTGAATTTTGAATTTTTGCTCGTAAATTTAAATTCACTACTATTCTTAAGCACTAAAACAGATTCACATGATGCATAAAAGGGAATACTAAAATGTATTTCATGATGAACAATAGAGAGATATTTTCCTCGGCTTGAGTTTGGACTAACCCAGTAGGTCTCTGCTGGGTATGCGCTCTATTGTACCGCTATGAGTAAAACTGTGTCGAGGTCATGGGACTACGCCCTCCCGGCAAGGCAGTTGGACCCGCAGCACAGTCGGTGTGTCAGCGGCATCCATGAACACAGTCGGTGTGACGTCGTGGGCCCCGAAGCCGACTCATTACATCAAAGTCGCAGACGGATTTGCGTTAATAGCTAGGCCCGTCATAAACCCGTCAGGGTTACAGATAATTAGGAGCACACAAATAAAGCTGGCAAAACAACCCCCCCCCAACCCTCACCCTCCACCCCAGATAATTATATGGTTCTGTCACTACGCTTTATGCAGATGACCTAGGCTTGGTACAAGACTTGTTTTGCGTACGCTGGCCTTCCTGTCATCATTGATCGCTGATGCGGGAATCCTACACCAAAATTACACTCAAACATAAGGAAAATGTTCCGCGTACTGGTGTGTTGGGCTGTGCTCCTTGACGAGGGTGATGCGACCTATCGTCTGAAAACAATGCAGAATCCAATGGGAATGCAGGGACAGAACAGAGGCACAGTACAGTATATCTTTTTGAAAACCTTTATGGTTAAAAATAATATGGTTCAAAATCCAGGGGTGCTACGACACAAGGGAGTACAGTGGATAAAATCTGAAGAATGAAATCAAGTCAATGTTTGAAAAGCAGAAGGTGGGACCATCGGGATATCACGATCGTCCACCGGCAACCCCAGCCAATCTCATTTCACCCAGCAACCCCTGGCCCGTTCGGTTCAGGACCTCTGACCATATATGAGGTTCCCCTCACCACCCAAAAAACCCTCTGCGAGACAGGCAAACCGACTGCTTGGTAAGCTCCAAAATCCACAGATTTGTGGGGGGGCTCTGAGGGGATCTGGTTGCTGAGGCCTCCTGAGCCATCACACTACCGCACATTTTGGATGAGTGGTCCCTGGGGCGATTTTGAGGGAAAAGAAACGGATACACTTCACCCTTCGGCGTGTGATTGGCCGACAGAGCCCATTATGTAAATCCCCGGCCATTAAGTACCAATCAAAATCAATATTACAGCTAATTCTCCTTGAAAGTTTGCTACTAAATCACTAACCTGGGTTAGAGTGAACTGATAAATACCTATACTCAAAAATCAGCAAAAAAATTCGGTGGGAGGATCAGATTCGAATATTTTTCGCTTAAGAACTTTAAAACCTCAGTTCAATATTTCATCCTGTAAGTTGAAAATATATATCGCGCACGTTTCGATTCTACTCACTTGCAGTTCACACAATTCGTCACAACCAAGCGTTTGCAATTATAAACTAGCAGTTCAAAGCTTTTTCCTGACCTCCTGTTTGGTCTGCTTCAGCACCTCATATTTCAGAAACTGTTTAAAATTCTGCAACTGCCTTTTGTTCACTCTGGCTGTTAATGCCCAACTTCAAAGGCAGCTCCTCATTAGGACAGAGGTAGAAATCCCCATCATCCATTTACATTTGCTAAGAGCTTTATATATATATATAAAATACTTGAAAGCTCGGATCAATAGCGCTCAATCGTGTTTGTGCAATGAAACCATCTGATGGCTGATAGAGACCCCAAGTCGAGCTGCGCATAAAGTCGAAGCGTGCAAACTAACGCGCTTTTAGCACGCGTTAAACTCACTGACGTTACAGCGTTACATTGTGATCTGTCTGACGCGCTTGACTCAGTGGGCACAGCTTTACAGACGCCCAGTAACTGGAAATGATCTGACTTCCCCGATTACTCCTCCTTGGGAACAGGGGGAGATAACGACACCGCTTCTTTAAAAACTTTTCCCCTCCCTCCTTTTTTTTAAAAAAAAAAAAAAGAAAAGAAAAAAAAAAAAGAAAACTGGGGAAGAGGGGTGGGGGGGAAAGTTGTCCTTTGAGTGGCTAAAGCTGTCACGAGCATGCGTGTTTCCATGGTGAGTGATTTATTGATGTTTATCGGGGACGCGCGGATCAAAGAGCGCCACGTGACAGACGATCAATCACGCATCAAATCAAGAATGGCAATCCTCTAATAAAAGCTTGCAGAGAGAGAAAGAAAGAGAGACGGTCAGCTTCCTGTCAGTTTCCCCTCCCTTGGCTCCTGATTAAAAGATGCATTTGCAGTGTACTTTCTTACGGCGCGATTGACCCGAAACGACACGTTTTGTCCCCCGAAAGAAACAAACCCTGCAGAGTTTAATGCGTTCATATAGGCTACCTAAAAATCCGCTACGCACAAGATCCGCAGAAATGCGGATAGAAGCGCGTCCATTCTGACAAAGAGTCGGGGCTGTACATCTTACATTTGGGGGGGGGGGGGGGGGCAAGTTACATCCGTATTTGTACGTCATTTTAGGACTGTGTGTGTTACCTCCTGCTGTACATGAACTGTCTGGTTCAGAGGGGGGGTGCAGCTGAAAAAATACTATTTTAACTGCGGTTCTGTAAGGGCTACGGGGTCATACTCTTAAAAAATAAAAATAAAAAATAGGGATATTTTGCGATCCGATGAATCTCTGGTTTTACATGCAATCCCTGACAGATAATTTTTGTATAGTTTTTGGCTAAGATCCGTTTTTTAATCCTCACAGTGTCTGTGAGGGATGCGTTTCGCTTACCTGCAGAGCGCCTCGGTTCTTGTTGCTTCCGCCTCGGCATACTGCTTCTGGTGACTTTCCTCTAGTCTTTTCATGCAGGAACCAAAATAAATTTTCGACCAGCCGAGAAAAAAAAATAAACGATGTTTTTCTGAGTGTTGCTTGGATTTTTTTTTTTATCCCCTGAAAATATTGGATTCCTTTTCTTGTGGGATAATTTATGAGATAAGTCCTGAAGTCTGTTGAAGTCTTTTCAACACAGCGGCAAAGCTCGGTGTATCCCTTTTGTAAAATGAACGTTTAAAGGGTAAAACGTTAAAATGAGCAAAAAATGAGGAAAAGTCCCTGCGTAGCTGCGACGCGAAAATTTCCCCAACTCATAGCGCGTCGCCGGAGGACCGCGTCCGAAGGGCAGTCAGGGCAGCCGACTTTGGCTCAATCCCACCGCGTCCATGGGAAAAAGATCGCCAGTCTGACAACGATGGATATTTGACGAAAAAAAATAAAATGAAAAACAAACACTTCCAGCATGAACACCTTTTTATTGTATCCCCGTATCAGCGCTCCTGGTTCCCAGAGCTACAACCGAAAGGAAATTAGGAGAAAACAAGACAGGCAATTAGATGGTTAATGTCAGTCAGTCACTACGCCACCTCAAAGCTAGATCAAGAAAAACCTTTGCCGTCAGTGAAATACTTTCCGTCTCCCCACACCCTTTCACTCGGGCGGCTTGGCTAGGCTCCTTCTTCAAGCCGCATTTAGGAGCCCGAGCGCTGATTTCCCACTTTGGCTTGGGAGCGCACGGCGGCGCCCGACGCGGCGGAGCGCAGCGCACCGCGACTGCGCCAAATAAAGCGGACGCGAGATCCCCCCGATCCGGCGCGGCAGCCTGGCATGCAGGGGTCTGCCAGCCCCCGGAAAAGTCCACCGGCGGGGATCAGCCAACCCCTGGAAAGTCCAGCGACGGAACGGTCCTGGGCTGAGAAAAGGCAGCCGACACACACATCCAAACCCAGAAGCGCCTCAGACAGCCTCAACTGATAGACAGACGCATCGAGTTGGGTTTTCCTGCTTCACTTTTACTCCTCCCCTCGCTACGAGCGTCACCCTGACAGTAAAACCTACCTGTCAATCTTTTTAATTGTCTTTTTTCCTCTCTCTCTCTCTCTCTCACCCTGAACTGAACGCCTTGACAAAGGAAGGCTTGGATCTGCCTCATGGAAACGTCAAAGTCATGCGATTGTGGAGCATTAAACTTGAGCCGCTATAAGAGGAGTACAATAGGTTATTATTGCTAAGCTAATATGCCTGCAGATCGTGTTAATTTTACATTTGGAAATGTGAGCCGTTGCTTGATTTCCATGGGTTAAACGATACTTCCAAGCAGGCTACAGATATTCAGTCAGAGAAATGCGGGAGTTACTGTCGTTAAACTATTACAACTCCGTAAAACACCGTTTATAACGTATTTATTTTAAAAACTTCCCTGTAAAAATCTGACTGTAAAGGCAAGGTGGAAATTCATTTTAATAAGAAAGTTAAGATGCCTTTGCCTACAAAGCAATCCCTGTGCAGACTTTGCTCAGATAAGTTCTCGGGAATCAAAATCTGCGTGGAAAATTTTTCACAAAACGTACAGTTTTCGTGATAAAACACTTGTGCCGAGTTGCACTCATTGTACATACTCCCCCTTGTTCCCCATTTCCCGACATGTGTGCCCCCTCCCTCTCTCCCTCCATTCCTTCCTTTGAAGGATGTTTGAAAACTGCAGATTGATTCGTTTCACCTTACTAGGAAGTGAACGCTTTGCACGGGAAGAGGAGGGACTGGGGGCACCGGCTCCACCGCAGCTAGGCTGCTCCGTCTCGTGTTTATCAGTGGCACAAATTAACGCGTTAAAACAATAGGTCGCGCGGTCTAACGACAATCGTGCCATTTTCTAAAGTCCGCCGCACCCGCTTTCGGCTCCCCGGTTTAGATGCAATCGGTGCACACAGAGTGTCCGTGAACTTTGCCGTGCTCGTCCCCCCTCCTCCTGCAGCCGTGGGGCAATGTCCACTTCACTTTTATTCAGTAACATAAGAGTGTCTTTAGCGTGCGGCTGGGGACGCGGAGTGAAACACGCACTTTTCCGCCCGCCCGCAGTCCGGCCGCAGCCGCGTCGCTCCGTAATAGACATGTCGTACTCCAGTCACTTCATGGATTTTAAAGGCTCCTCGATACCTAGCGCCATGAAAAAGCTGTTGGTGACAAAGCTGAGCCAAAAATTCAGGGACGCCGTATCCTTGCAAACCGTTCCGGTCCCGACACCTGGCGACGGAGACTTACTGATAAGAAATCGGTGAGTTTTATATGGTATTCTGCCTTGTGTGTAGCCGTTTTATCGCGTTTGGGGAACATAAAATGAGATTAGCCTACATATCACACTATTACATACAAGTGTATTTATTAGATCGGGTAAACAACTGTTCTCTAATATCCGAAATGGGTCCTTACCTCTTGCTGTGAAGCAGCGGTCCCGTTAGAGTCCCAGCCGATTCCAGTCCGATCATTTATTCTGGACGAATTTTGCACGGCGCAAAAAATGTAGAGATATGTCGTAGTTCCGCCCCAACATCTGTCTATCAATCCATCTGTGCATGTTGATCTATCTGTATCGACTACGTCACGTAGCCGCATCCAGAAAGCCGCCGGGACTTGCGGGAAACACGGAGATGCCGCACAAGGAGGAGGACCGCCGTGCGTCCGCTTAACGTAGCCGCTTCATCACCCTTCATCGGTGCTTGGTGTTTTTTTTTTTTTTTGGTCTTTCGAAATAATATCATCGGACAAAACGAAGGTTCACTGATCTCGAAAACTGAATCTGCAATTCTTATTTCTCAAAATAGTAACGAGACGCTCCGTGTTATTTAAAAGCTACATAAATCGATGATTAGAGTAGTTCTGGTTCTTTCATCTTGAAATTAAGGTTTATTTGGGTAATAACTTTTGGTGAGTTACGCATCAACAAATATGAAGACTCGCGAATTTAATTTACTCAAGTAATTTCGTTCAATTCGCTCATATAAAAATGACTGAATAAAATGTTACTAGACGCTGTATTATATAGCCTATCATTATTATAATTCACTTAACCGCATTTTAGACAGGCTGTACCGTGTGTACTATTCATGTAAAAGGACAGAACTTTTAAATATACCCAAACACGGTTACTTAGCTTAGATTTAATGCTATAATACTTTAGTGAATTTTACTACTTTGCAATCAGATGCACCAATTCTAATATTTGTTATTCTCGTACATTTTGAAAAGTTGATCACCCAGACAGTCCACTTTTTACATTTATTTAAAACATCTTGGTCCTGCAAAATTAGCAGTTTTATGCGAAATTATCGTGCGACTTTCTCGTATTTATTTCCTCTACCTGTTTATTATAGGCCTAATCGTTTACAAACTTAACGAGATATTTGTTATTGTTCTAATAAGTTGTCACCTAGGCAGTTAAAGGTTTTTTTTGTTGTTGTTTCAGTAAATACTTCGTCTAATCTCTGATAAAATCTTACTTCATGGCTAGTAGAATACAAGTGTTATGGACGCAGTGTACTGTAAACAAAGGCACCGTTGTAGAGATCTTGCCCTTTTTGACTCAAGCAAAAAATATTCTATACAAAATATAACGTTTCCGGCGGTTTACGCGTTTATATATTCTGCTTCTAAAAAATAAAGCGAAAATCCAAAAAGGAGCCCTTAACTTAAAATGTGATATTTGCCAGTTAAGTAGGATTTAACAAATTTCACGGCTTTGAAGTTATTTTATTATTTGCGTGCCCTTTTCCAGCAAATCCTAATTTCTTACAGTATACATTCAAATTGTAGGCTACTTTATAAAATGCTGATCACAAAAAAGTTTAATATGGGCGAAGTAGAACGCGTGTCACATTTTGTTTCGCTGTATGTCTTGGGTTTTTCCTTCATTTCTAAGTTACCTGACTTTACAAAGCCAGGTACCGTCTGGCAGGTGTTTGTGAGAAGCGGGTCAAAGCGCTGCTCAGGGGCTTCAGGGCCAGAAACTCAGCTGGCGCGCCGTGAATAGAGAAAAATATCAGTTTACCTATGAACCTCGGCTTCCCCGCAGAAACGGGGTCGCATCTAGATTCTGAGGATTAGTGTATAATGTTACTCATCTGCAAGAATGAGGCCGGTATCGGATACGCAACATTCATCCCCAAATAAACCACTAGATGCAGTGAGTAGCCTACTATTATAGTATTGTGGTCGAGCCACCGCGATCATGTGTAGGCCTAATATATTAAAACGATCTAAAATGTAAACAAAATGGCAGGAAGGAAGTGGAAACATTTCATTGATATCTAATTTAAACGGTGCTTTGCGCATCTCATAGATGGACTTTATAAAATGGTGTATTTGGTATGTGGTGCTCAGATTTAATTTGTAAACTCATCACTGTGTTTTTAAGGCTGTTCTGTTTTTTAGTATATGTAAATACTGTGTATAACAGATTTATGTAAACGCGAGTCTCGGGAAGGTGGGGGGGGGGTGTCTGTGTTTATTTAAATTTACCCATGTTAAGTGCTTGTATATCTCCTAATCCGACAATTGAAAGTCTTAATATTTTTAAATGCCCAAATGTGTTTAAGGCCCTACATATATTCATTATGACTATTGTTGTTTTATTATCATTAGAATGACTGTTACATTTAGTGTTTGGCTACTTAATGCTTTAACAGTACGTAAAGTACCTTTAAATTGGCCGAGAGTACAGCAGTAGCACCTTGTTACGCCGATCTGCTTTAGGGTCGTGTATAACCACACTGTCCCTGTAACCGTACTGGTTAAGAGGGGCCGGGTGACCTGGCTTGCTGGCCGAGCCGCATGACACTGAAGCATGATGTTGGCGTGTGGGGGCCGGTGGAGCACAGACAGGAGCTCTGATCTTACAGCCCCCCCTTTAGGCCCCCATAGGTGTTCCCACAGTGTCTGGCGAGTTTCTGGGGAAACTCATTTTTGGGGCCTAAGACTCAGGTGAAAGGTGGATTGCATCTCTCTGAGTTTTTCATTTGAGAGATCTTCACGTCACGTTTGCATTTCGGGGCTTTAGGTTTTACTGAACTCCTTCCCACTTACTGTATCATTTTAATAACATGTTGAGATCGCCACCATAAAGATATTTTTAGTCTTCATCGTCGTTTTTGTTATATTATTAAAATTATCATCAGCAGTAGCAGTAGTCTGAGATGTTACTGCATGACTGAAACAATAGTAACATAACAGATTAACAGATACACCTGCTTCTCAGAAACAGACCTAAACATTTTGTGATGCTTTTAATGAAAAACTTAGGATCTTGTGACCATGAAAACAACCTGACGTATTTTTTTTTAAAACTTGGGGGGTGGAGCAGTAGCAGTAGGTGGAGCAGTAGCAGTCAGAGACTGTCGGAAAGTGTCTGCTTAATTAGTGCCGTATATTTTTGCTGAACACACAAGAGACCCAGTGTTGTTTGGCGTGTCGACTAGATTTACACGTTTATTATAGAACATGGACAAATTTACGTAATACATTACAGGAGGCTTCACATTTACACTGTAGAATTGGAGACGTTACTTATCTTATCTGCATTTAATTATCTCAAAGAATTCACATCATTTATCATTGTTGTTTCAGCCTCATCTTGAGTGTTTTATGCAGCCAACTCAAGGTGCAGTAGATGATCCCATACAGGGATTTAACCTTGGAGTCTTTGTCATTTGCCCAGTTTCCAGTGCACTGAACCTTCAGCAGTAATGTTCTGGAAATCTACACTGCAAATGCATGTGTACTCACTACATCTCGTGTTGTTGTCTTCGCCATTTTAACTATTTTGGAATTTCACCTTTTTTTTTACACTGCATTCGCCATGAGTCTGTGCTCACGTCCACTCAAAAGTAACACGAGAAGAATTTCCTTGTTCAGTCCCATTTAATTGGAGTATTTAAATTGAGATTAAAAACTGCACGGTGCATGTGAAGCACAATGATGAGTCCAAGCAAAAATAACTTTTTTTTGTACATACTTGCTTCATATTTTCTCTTCATTTTTCTTTAAAGATGATTCCCGAGATCAAACGTCTTTTGAGATACTGTCTGGGGAGAGAAATGCAGAAGACTATATACTGTAGTGTGTATGTATTTTTTTCCCACGAGCAGTAGATACAGAGTCCTTGTAGCAAACAGTGCGTTTTGTTTCGACGCAGTCCTATTTTGGCAGAATTTCATCCGCGGTTTTTCAGGAGGGATTTGAGCTGGTTCGGATGCAGCGAATAGCAAGAGGAGAGTGTAAACTACAGTCTTCCCATCAGAAGTCAGGGCTTCTGAAATGGTTACTTTTCCACACAGGTGTTTAATGGCGATAAAGAAAACTGGACTTGCTGGTTTCAGTGGGCGAGGTCATTGAACGGGTTGGGTCCTCACCGTAGTAACTCTGAGGGCTGCGGAGGTCGTGACCTTGTCTAATTCCTTGGCGAAAGCCTGTTTGAAAGCACTCATCCGACACCTCTGCTTTTATTACAATATTTGACACATCACATGTGATGTCATAGGCTTGTCATGCAAATTTTTTCATGTGATTTGTCCCTGGGGAAAAAAATATATGCTGTGTATAAATATAGATGTTTATCCTGTATATAATGACAGCACTCATCTTGTGCTTCCTGTACTTTCAACCTTGTCATCTGTTTATTTTCATGCCGCATGGCATCTGCTCTCTCCCGTCTGTGCCGACGTGCGAGTCTGTCTCACGTTGCCCCTTTCCCTCCCACGCCACTCAGATTCATTGGCATCAACGCGTCCGACATCAATTACTCGGCGGGCCGCTACGACACCTCGGTCAAGCCGCCTTTCGACGTGGGGTTCGAGGGCATCGGTGAGGTGGTGGGTGTGGGCCTGAGCGCCAGCGCACACTTCACCGTGGGCGACACCGTGGCCTACTTCGTGGAGGGCGCCTTCGCCGAGTACAGTGTGATCCCCGCCAAGAAGGGCGTGCGCGTGCCGGCCATAAAGCCGGAGTTCCTGGCGATGTTGCTGAGCGGCGCCACTGCCCATATCGCGCTGAAGAAGCTGGGCGAGTTGACGGAGGGCCAGACGGTGCTGGTGACGGCGGCCGCCGGGGGCACCGGCCAGTTCGCCGTGCAGTTTGCCAAGGCGGCCGGCTGCCACGTCATAGGCCTGTGCTCCTCTGACACGAAGGCCGGCTTCCTGAAGACCATTGGCTGCGACAGACCCATCAACTACCGCAAGGAGGACCTGCCGGAGGTCCTGCGCCAGGAATACCCACGCGGAGTGGACGTGATCTACGAATCCGTCGGCGGCGATGTCTTCGATCTGGCCGTCAACAGCTTGGCCGTCAAGGGCCGGCTGATCATAATCGGCTTCATTTCCGGCTACCAGTCAGACCTGGGCCTCGCTCCGGTAAAAGCCGCCGCGCTCCCGGTCAAGCTGCTGAAGAAGTCCGCCAGCATGCGCGGATTCTTCCTGCCGCATTACCTGTCCGACTATGGGGAGGCGCTGGCGAGCATGCTGAGCATGTATACCCGCGGCAAGTTGGTGTGCGAGATCGACCGCGGGGACGCGGCTCCTGGGGGCAGGTTTGTGGGCCTGGAGTCTGTGTTTCGTGCCGTTGACCACATGTACAGCGGGGGGAACCTCGGCAAGGTGGTGGTGGCACTCGGTCCGGAGGCCGAGAGCAAGCTGTGAGCGGGGAACTGAACAGCGCAGGGACAGCAGTGTCAACAGACACACGAGTAAAACCTCCCCAGTATGAGTGAATTGAAAGTGCCTGTTCTTCTCTGTACGGCTTAAAGTCAGCTTGTTGACTTTGACTGTTGATTTAATTTTGACTTTCCTGTTCATTTACATTGAATTCTTACACATCGTGATAGTAAAACTCAATAGATTACAGAACAATGCAGACTCGACTTTTCATTTCTTTGGTAAAAATCCTAAGTTTTTCTCTCTCACTTTACGGCTGCTTTAGTTTAAGGTGTGATGCAACCACATGTGTGTCTCTGAACGCCATGCCGAACTGCGATCCCCCCAGTTCCTTCTAACTGTGGGGATAATTGGCCAAACAGGGAACTGTGAGCTGAGCTGTCACGAGGCTGCTCTCATATTGGGGGGGGGGGCAGCTGAGGATCTGGGGGCCACGAGTCCAGTAGGCCTTTAAAACGGGGACGCCGCTGCCATTATGTGCATGTTAAATGCCCGTTAAGGGGACGACGGCGCGCACACGTGCTCGTCTATCATGAACACGCTGGACACTGAACGCCACAGCAGACAAGACCACAGCCTTTAAGAACCTCTATTCACAACCTTCAGCAGTCAGAGATTTTGTGTTTATTGAAATACTGTTGGCTTTCTCCAGTTAGTGCTGGTGTGCTTTTTCCTTTTGGCTAATGTACTATTTTTGTTTTCATATAAATAAAACTTCATTGTGCTGAGTCCTGCACTGCGGGTAATTATTCCAAGAAACTGTTTAACTGCAGGAAGATTTTATTACATTCTGTGTTTGCTTACTGGATGGTTTATGAAGTAGCCTGTTATACAGGGGCTTTTAACATTTGTTGTTGTTTCTTTACAGTTCTTTTTCTGAGATTGTCCTTAAAACAGCAGTATGTCCGCAGCAGAAACTCGGTTAAAGGTTCTCACTTGAGGGGCCACTGGAGACTCACTGCCTGGCTTTAAAAAGGGCAAATCGTCGACCTGGAGTTCTGTTCCGTAACGATGCTGCCGCTCGCTGCTTACTGGCCGGTCCTTTGGGTAGACATGTGGGCTAGATAACAGTCATCACGGGGGAGGAGGGGGGTGCTTGCAAAGTAGGTAGGGAGTAAAACAACAGGGCCCCCTGCCCAGATAGAGCTTGTGGTGGCCAGACCCCCACCCCCCACCCGCATTACTCATAACGGGAGAGATGTCAGCCAGGAACTAACAGAATACACCAGGGCTCTCCACTGCGAGGCGGCGATTCCGGAATGCTCTGCCATTAAATAAAAAGACGAGAACAAGCTCCTGCACATTGGTCCGTGTAAGCAACCGAAGACACCACAGCGCTGAAGCGTTCATGTTTTGCTCCAGGGTTTAAGAAGTTGCTATGCAGTCAGAGGACCATAGGTCTAGGTCTTGTTCTCCCGCAGCTGGACCCAGTGCTGAAGCTGCTGTAAACCCCCACCATTTACAGAGTTGGACTATTCCATGGTTGATCCTACCCTAATTAATGAAGTTGGAACAGACCATGTGTCACAGAGTTGGACTGCTCTGTATGTCTTACCAAACATTCACCACCCAGTTTGAGCTAGTCCATATGTTTTTTCGAGTCAGAACTGGACTAGTCTATGTGCATTATCCCACCCTCAGTGAACAGGACGGACTTTTCCATTAATTTTCTCCCCGTCAGTTCTCTCTCTCAGTTCTAACTGGGGGTTACTACTATCTACCCAGCACGGCTGTTGCACACTGTTCACTGGACCAGGATTTTCTTCAAACTGTCATCAGACGGTTAGGGGGGAGAGCTCGTATGTGTGGCTCCTGTGTGTTTACTTCCGTTACCTCACCAATCTGCTGTCTTTACCTCCTCACCTGCCCCCCTTCCAAGCAGCACTGTAAAGTCCAGGTGTACGAGACCCCAAGGTGGCCGTCTTCATGTAAATCGCTCAGCAGAAACCTTTCTGTCCCATCTGGCAGGCTGAGCCGACCCATAACAGCCTCACGTCGTAACGTGACACCACATTGGTGAAATGCTCGACACAGTCCCAGCAAACAGTACCCCCACCTGCAGAGGCAGAGCCTTCATGTGGCCTCTCCCAGACCGGACCCCAGCTGCGGAGCACCAGCGTATTCCCTGGGGGGCCCTTTCTCAATACTGGCCCACTCCCCCCTCCTGCTCAGTACTTACGACCTAATTACAGCATCCTACATAACTAATTAATCACCGTTGCCCCAATCACAATGACAAGGCCGCAAAGGTGACTTTCCTTAAAAATCTCCCTTTTGCATGATTTTTTTTTTACCTCAATCACCACAATTATGTTCTCCAGATGTCTGTCCAACTTTCAGCCCAAGTTCTGTACTCAAATGGCCGCCAAGGTCAGGATGCATTTCACACGCATTCCAGATATGACTGCAGTTGAGGAAGGTGAAGGTGGCTGATGTGTGAATGGGAGGAAGATCTTCAGGTGAGAGGATGGAGTTTACGTGTGTGTGTGTGTGTGTGAGGGATCAAAGCCACAATGACATGCACGGTTACATCAAAGGGCTTAGATGACACAGGTAGCACAGAGGAATTTAATTAATTGACTTACTTACAAGATACCTCCGTAGACTGTGATGGACTCGGAATTGTCCCAGGCAAGGTGACCACTCACTCTCCGGTACTGTCATAGCCAATGGCGATAAATCACAATCATTCCACGTGATCTGATGAAGAATTCATTCTAAATTAATGAGAAGATTTATAATGAGAAAGAACTGGAATGTGGGGGTGTTAAAATGGCCACCCATTGGCATTTTAAGCCAGAAAAACAGTAGAGTTTTATGCTGGTGGATTTTTTTTGCCTCCATGCCCTTCATGAGAAATTTGCCAGGTTTTTAACCCAGATATTTAACCAACCAATGAGCTCTGGTCAATGTGGTTGATGTGCATCTTCCTAAAGTTCTTGGTAGGCTGAAATGTGACATCTTTATTGCAGTACTTTCCATATATTTCCATATATTAGCGAGGTAATATAAAAAAAAAAAAAAAATATTCTGCGATAATTCTCGGTAGATGAGGGGAAAAAAAAGAGTCAAAGACTTTGGTGGTTGAACATTCTCACCACCTTGGAGCTGAGAAACACTCTCAGTGTGAAGCTGGCAAATGAACCACAGCCGTGTCCCGCGGCCCCTTTTATACATTATTTAGGCAGAAGCCTCTTTACAGTTGCTATAAAATCCAGCCATTCTGTCATTCATTGTCTTCTGGAAGCTCTGGTGAGCTTGCTGGTCCTTGGTCTGTTCCCCTTAGCTGAAGTTTAGCTTCTGTGCCAGAATGGAGTCTGTCGGATCGTGGACATTTTGTGGACCAAAAATGTAATCAATCAATACAGTGGATTAAGTTACACTTCAGTTTTTTTCCCCCCCTGCCATCTTGTATCGCTATTTTCAGGCTATGAATGACTCATCCATCGAAGGATGAAGCTCTCGTGGCTGTGACGCCACCGCTTCAGCTGGTGCTCTCTGAAGACATGGAACTTTCCAGAAGAATGCCTCCAAGTCTGTGCCAGAAAGTGAAGGCCCATCAGTAACGGACAGGTGCTCCGACCTCACCCCATAGCATTCTGAGATTAGACACTCTTCACCCAGGAAGCCTTATTAAGCAAAGCACACCAAGACTCAGGTTGTAACTTCTTCCCCTTGACAACTGAGCTAGGAGCAGTGTACTTTCCACATGGCCTAGGTTCAGCTATCCCGATCAAAATGACTAAGCTGATCTGGGATCAGCTACGCAGGGGTTCATGACAGTGCAGTGTCACTAGAACCAGCAGGACAGTTCTAAAATTGACTGCTTGGGGTGTATTTTCTGACTTCAGGTTTGTGCTGATCTGTTGCATTTTTTTTTCTCAAACAGCTTTTCACTGGGGGAACAGAGAGGAATCTGCTGTTGCCCTGTTGCCCCAGGCACTGAGTCTCCTTTTCCCTCAGGAAAACATGCTCTCCAGTGCTTCGTAACAGGCCTATGAATGCCATACAACACACCGGGTTTGACTGATCACTTGTGGGTGGGTGAGGGGGGCGGTTAGAGGGTTTTTTCTTCAACAAGGTTGGTGAAGGGAGGGGTCTAGTGCCCACTCTCCGTGTGACGGACAGGTGCGTGACCATGCAGGAGCGCCTGTTGTGGATGGGGAGGGCAGAACATGCAAAAATTACACGGTACGAGACAGCCAATGGGGTCAGGTGTCCTGGCGAGATTCTGCGTGCATCATTCATTCATCGCAGGAAATGGGTAATGCATTTCACGCCTCTCAGATCACGCCCGCCCTCTCCCCGCCGCATTCCCTCTTTATCCCACATCACTTTCCCTGAATTGTTTTTTTCTTTGTCCACCGCATTTGCAGAACCAGGAACCACCCCCCCCCCGATCCTCACCATGTGCCGAATTAAGCCTAATTGGAAGAGATGAACGCTCAAAGCAGGAAGTCAACTTTGCCATAATTAGGCAGCTTTACGGCCCGGCTTTCCGGCACGCTGCATGTTTACCTTCATGTTGAGGTTGATGTTGGCCAATTAGAGACAGGGAAACAGTTTAACCTCCGTCATTCACCACGTACAGAGGGTGGCGGGGCGTTAACCGGGGGGGGGGGGCGAAAATCTCGAGGAGGTGCTGGAACAGCACAGCGACATTTAAAGCATCCAAAATAGGAGCTGTAATTAAACGAGGTGGCATGAGGGTGTAGCTATGCTAGGGCCCATTGTAACATTGGTGGGGGTCAGAAAGGCTGCTGGGAAACCTGGCATCTCCTCCTGGAAGGAGGTGACACTCCTGCTCATCTCATAGAATACATTTTAATTAGCACCTGAGCGGCAGCGGAAACGGCAGGCAAAGTGTGTCAGCGCACAGATAATTATTTCAATACAATAATTAGCGGCAGAGGCCGAGCGGAAGGCAGCGGGTCCTGCGACCCTCAGGGATCAGGGTCAATCGGCCTCAGCTCGAGAGCGAGCCTGGTGTTTAAAAAGAAGAGCCTGGGTCCTTGAACGGTGATGAAAAAGAGAGTTATAGTGCTGGGTGCCTTAACCGCTACGCCCCCTGCTGCCCAGATGTGTGAGAAGTGCGGGATGGTTTGTTTAGTCCCAGAGAACACGTTCCACCCATTATCCTCCATCTCCAAGTGTGCTTGGTGCTGCAGCTGTGATGATATGAGGATGGGGGCTTT